ACGAAAATTACCATCTGGTGGAATAAAGGAAAGTATTCGTTCTGACTGGGAAAAAAAGTATTCTATTAATGATGTGATTAATAAGTTTAAGCTTTTACTTGTTCTTACCTCCCATCTTTTAAATCTAACACAAGGATGAAAACTGACATCATCAAATAATCTGGGATTCATGAAAGAAAGTGTTAAATCTGGCATACCACTTAATTTTATACAACAGTCAATCTACAATTTAAACATATAATTATACAATATATTTATTATATAAATATTTCTATCCATAAATAAATCAGTACTGATAATATTAGACAAAACGCATACATAGCCTTGAATTTCTGCAAACACAGTTGCACCAGTTCTATCTATAATAGCATCAACTTCTTCTACAACATCAAAATATGCTTCATTATTTGTATATTTAACACCAGTACGCCTCCAAGGAACATTAGATAATTGTCCACTTGGTAATGTTGCACTAACACTATAATTTATATATACAGTTAAATATATATATATCAATTTTTATATTTTACCTCAAATATATAGTTAATATACTTACTTAGATTTTCCTGTTACAGTATTTGCGATAGTTCTTAATATATTTGGTGGTTTAATAAGTTCCTTCAAAATATTAGATTCTGTAGCTAATGGAAAACCATTGTCCAACATTTCATCTAATAATTCATAGACAACCACATAGTTTTCTTTTATGATAGTTTCTGTACATTCACTAAAATAGTCTTCAAAAGTATCCACTACTCTGTGTAAAAATTCTATCACAAATAATGGCGGAACTATAAAATAAAAATAATATTTAAAATATATTTTACAATTAAAGCAATTTATTAATCTCATATTATGAATAAATACCTTCTGTCATGCATACCGCAACAAAAAACATATTACAACGATATATACTAATGAGATAATGATGAGGTGTAGCTATTACAGGTGGTGTGTCTTCAGGAGATAAAACTCTTCGCTGTTGATCAAAGAAGTAGTCACATAGTGACCGTGCCACTGCACTTTTCCAATGCTTTTCCATGAAAACATCTCTAAGGGTAAACAATATTTTAAGTTTATGAAACCCAGAATTGAAATTTTTTAATCATACATAAAATTTTTTGAAATATATATAAAATACGATATATATATATATATATGATCATATGCAAGTTTCTAACCAAATACTTGTCAGATACTAAATATATATGTTTACCCACAATTTAATACTTACCCTGACGAGTTGATAATAAAAAGACTATGTATCATTTTTTTTAAAGAAATTGTTCTGAACAGTCCACTGTTCAAGTTGTTTGTCAATTTTATTTTGGTATGTTACATACACTTGACATATGGTTCTGTATTTATAAATTGTACTAACACTGATGCAGGAACCTACATTTATTATCCTGCATTTGCATCAGAGAGGAAAATATAACGAAGATATACCTACAGATGCAGATATTTTTATTAGTAAAATTTTAACGTAAATAATATAATGTAAATGATAAAAAATATCATAATTATAGTAACAAGTAAATGTAATATTTAAAATATATGAAGTAATTACAACCTATAACATTTTGCTACATACGTGTCATTAATTATCTTTCATTTTCAATCTGTATTTTCAACACTCTTAACTTGATGATGGATGAAATTAAAAATTGGGAGGATATAGAAAATGATGGTAATTTATTCAACATTATGCGTCAAAATATGTATTAAAGCTTTCTTTTTAAGCATATGCCTTTCAGAATTTTTTAAACAATTTTCTGATGGTGAATCCAAAAAAGGTGATATCAATCAAATGTTATCAGTGGCACAACAGATAAATAAATTAGGACAAGGTGAATAAAAAAATTATTATATCTCCAACATAATGTCATGATATATTATAATATATAATATTTTTGATATAGCCATTGAAATATTGAATGCCGAATTACAGAAGCAAGTATTAGCTAATCATGAAGATTTATTGTCACAAGCATCATGGGTAGAAAAATTGGAAGGTGTGCTTTCAATAATGCAGTTACATGTTCAGGTACATATAAATACATTTATAAATATTGAGGGAAATAAATATTACTTTGAATAAAATATAAATTTTTGTGTTTTAGAGCCTTTTATCAGCTGTAGAACGTTTACGTGGAAAAATTATTGATCCTTTTAATAGAATTGAGACTCAGACAATTGTTCTAGCAAGGCTTCATGAAACTTCTGATTTGCTACGGAGAGTAGCTAGAATGCAACATTTATCAAAACGTTTATGTTCTCAAATGACAAATAATATGCAAGGTCCAGATATCATAAAAGCTGCGAATAGCCTTCATGAACTTGGTATATTAATTTATTTTTAATTTTACATTTCATAAAAAATATATATATATAAAAGAAATATGATAATTGTTGTTTATAGAACAGTTGATGATGGATACAGATTTAAATGGATTAGATGTTATTGCTGATGATCAACAAGTTGTAAAATCTCATAGAACAACAGTACAGAGAATAGCAACTCATACTTTATCTCAAGGTTTACAAACAATGGATAGAGCTAAAGTATATAAGTACATATTATTCTTTTAGATACTATTATCTTTATAACTGTTAATTATAATTTACAACAAATAGGTTAGTACAGCTGTACAGGTATTTCAAAATTTGAGAGTTGTAAATGGAGCTATAGATAATGTCATAGATTCTGCCTTATCAGAGATTGAAAAAATTGCTTCAGAATCATTAGATGTAACTTTAACAACAAATCAAGACCTTGGAAAAAGAGCAGCACCTGGACGAGCTGCTATTCCTTCTCCAGGATCTTCTGGAAATTTACGCACACGAATTTGGGAAAATCTTGAAAGACTTTTTCAAGATACTCTTTATACACACTGTTTACAAGTAATGTAACTGAAGAATATTTGTTCTGTATCTTTCTTAAATCTATTTACTCATATTTTCAAACTATATACTATATTATTATCTTAGATTGAACTATTGCAAAGAATACTATTAGAACATCATATGAAGGAGTTGGATGAACTATCACAGAAATTTTGGGACAGAGTGAACACTCTGCTTTCTAAAGTATTAATTGAACGTGCACAAGGTAAAAATTATAATATTGAAATATTCGTTCTGATAAAAACACCGCGTTTATGTTTTCAGGCTCATCATTTGTAAAACAAGCATTAGAAGGTGAATACCCAAAATTTTTGAGAATATTTCTAGATTTGAGAAAACGTCTGAAGGAACGATTACAGAGCATTAGTATTTACAAAATCAAGTAAATAGAAAGATATATAAAAAAGACGTCAAATAATTTATCTTATATAATACAAATAATATTTATATTCTTTCAGTCATAATGTATTATTACCATTTGAAAACGCATACTTATCTCGCTCAGTATCACGTCTATTAGATCAAGTACATACTATGTTTTCTGGTGAAGGATTACCTACACAGGATGAAATTGATAGTCTTATACGCACAGTAACAAAGTAAATCAAGATAATAGATATATATCTTCATTTTTAATGCTGTCTAATAAATATCAATCCTTATGTTCTTTGTAGTGAATTAAGTGTGTCATTGGTTGATGATGGCCTTTCAACAGTAGTTGCTCGTAATGTAGGAAAAGCTATAAGACTCTTTTGCTTAAAATGTGAACAAGGATTACTTGTGGGTGGAGAAGCTAGTCAAGTAATTGATTCTCCAACCACTGTTCAGCAAACAAATGTGTCTCTTGCAAACCTACTTTATTATCTTTCTAGTCAAGTAACTCGTGTAATAGCAAATTTATCTGGTCTCCCATGTGAAGGAAATTCAGTAATTTCTGTAGCTCTTAAAGAAGTAGACGTATTAACAAAAAACATACTATCGCCGTTGTTAGCATCTATTAGTGACGCAATTGAAAGTATTATTTTAACCATGCATGATGATGCAGAATTTCGAGAGTAAGTAAATACAATGTTCTGAAATTAAATATATCTTAAAATATACGTACTATATATGTATGCGTATTCTTCCTCTACAGTCTGAGTAGCCCTATAGGAAAAGAAATTAACTGCTCACTCTACATGCGCGAATTGCAAGGATTTATTTTACGTTCTGTAAATACATTTCTTATGCCATATAAAAATCAGGCAGTAGTTGCTGAATGGTAATTAAAAATATAATTGCAACTTTTATAATGTATTTGCGACATATTGCTGAAATTAATCATATTTTTAGTTGTAAATCTGTTGCTTCACGGTGCATTGAACTTTTTGTAAGACATGCTTGCATATTAAGACCATTAACTGATTTTGGAAGAGCCAAACTCATTGTTGATTTTAGTCAGGTATGTTGTAATATATGGTAGTATCATGCTAAAATTTTATATTTAAGTTTCAATCTTTTATCTTTTTATTTTCATTTAGATAGAAATAGCTGTTGCTCCATTATGTAGAGGAGGGCAGTTGGGATCATCAGAACAACAACAATATAGAACATTACGAGCATTAAAAGCACTACTTCCACTTAGCCCGGATGATATCGTCCAGAAAGTTTTAGGAGGGGAAGGGGAATGTGGCATACCTTCCTCTCTTGTTCTTTTACATTTATTTTCTACTGCACCACCTGAATTAGTATCTCCACATCAGGTATGAGAATATATGTTTATATTATTATTTTGTAATGAAACTGAATTATCCTAAATTTAAAAAATTTTAGATTGGTACTAATTTGTTAATTACTATTAATATAGAGTACAAGTTGGTCTGTGGGTCGACTATCTCAGTGGATGGATAAACATCCAAATGAAAGAGATAGATTAGCTTTCTGTAGTGGACCACTGGAACGTTATCAGTTAACAGTCAGACAACAAAATCTTCCAACATTCCATCCACTATTTCCATTAATGAAAAAATTAGCTAATTTAAATGAACATTAAAATTTGTAAAATTTTGTATTACAAGATGTATATTTCCATATTTATAGAAGATAATATTTCATTCTACATGAATAATTTATTAATCAAGTTTAGAACAAATAAATATACAAAAGTTCTTAATAGATACAATCATATTTTCAACAACATATTAATTTCTGAATGTATATTGTTTTCGATATATAGATTCCTGCAATTAATGTAATGCTTAAACACATAGGCCAATTTATGTTACGTTTTTTTGGTCTGATATATGTTGCGGGTATACCAATATCGTTTTCTTTTTCAACCTATGTTAATAAAATATATTTTAATGTTTCCTCTTTAATGTGCATTACCAGATATTTATATATTTACCCTTTTAGAAAGTGCTTTTATTTGCATAAGCTCGTTTTTTAGAATACTAAGTGTCCCTTGTACTTTTTTAAGCTCTTGCTCATAATTAGATATTCGTTCAGTAGTTAAATATATATCTCCACTATTTACCTTTAATAAACTATTTTTAATATACCGAAAACTAGAACCAATAACAGCGATTTGTTTAGATAATATACCTAATGAGGCTATACCATTATATAATCTGAAAACGAATATAAAATTACATTTTCATAATCCAATGCTACAATAATTGCAGTTAATTAATTAATACATAATTGTATTATGAAGTAAACATACGTATAGGGTAACGATTTATTGATAGCACCAATGCTTTGTATACTCCATTTTTTCCTATGAAATTTATGAAGACATTCTATAAATTGTATTCTATGTGCATTAATATCCAATCCTAAGTGGATTAAGTCATTTTCAGTTAATGTTAAAAATGTTTTGAGACTTATCCCTTGGAAAATATGAGTATATTTTTCTAAATTCATCCCATATAAAATTGTATACACATCAGGATCTACAGTTTCATTGTCTATATTAAGTAGTGATGGAAACATATGTTTCCACTCATACACTTTAAATATTTTATAAGTATTTATTGCTACTTCTTCATCGAGATTTAATAGCGACAAAATCTGTAATAGTTAACATTATATTGTATTTTATAACAGGATGTTATAGTTTAACTTACTTTATCATATCCTTTCATAGAAGCTACATCATATACAGTTAGACCATTTAAGTCAGTTAATGTAACATCTGCTGCATTTTCTATTAATATTTTGACTACTTCTGGTTTATTAGCTATTGTTGCATACATCAATGCCTACAAATAATAAATAATTCGTAGTTTTATTGTTATTATTGGAAATAACTATTAGTATTACTAAAAGAGCTTACAGTTTGTTTCCTATTGTCATATGCATTAATATTTTTTATATATTTCACTAGTTCTGTTATAAATTCAGGTTCTTGTGACATACAAGCGTACATGAGAAGTGTTTGTCTGCAAAAATATTACTTAACAGTTATTAAAATAATTAATATATTAAAATATATATGTTGTAAATACCTTTGTTTATTGTTTGCATTTGGATTAGCACCTGCTTCAATTAATGCTGTTAAGCATTTTATACGTTGTTCTGTTGTTTCTTTAATAGAATTGCATAATGCCATTAATGGTGTATAGCCATCTAAAATATTACACCATCCATATTAGATTTCAAATTTTTCTCAAACATTTAATACATAACACAAAGTACAAAGGAAATACCCTTATGCTTATTAACATCAGCTCCATTGTTTATGAGATACTCAATGACGTTTACTTGTGCATTAAAAGCAGCATACAGAAGTGGAGTCCATCCATCACATAAAAATTTGTTTATATCATATGCTATATATTATAGTGAAATATACTTTTATATTAAAAATATTATTATTTTACAATATAAAATATAATTTATTAATATAAAATAATTACATTCAATATATTTGTTTACAATTTCGAACTTGCCCACTGTACATGCATTTATCATCTCACGTTCAATACTTTGTTCTTTATTATTATCCATATTTCTATCTTGATTAAATGTATTTATATTTTTTAATACTAAACTGTTTTGGAAACAATACCTAGTTGTTCTTGTTTGCTGTACAAAATATAAAACTTTTAATTTTTCATTAATAAAGTAAAAAAAATTTTATTTTATACTGATAGAATTAAATAATTCCTTCTTCAATCTCTTTAATATTTTTAAAAAGATTAGTTTTTACTATTACATTATATTTAGTTTTTATTATACATTATTTACAGATTAGTTTTTATTATACATTATTTACAAAATTATAGGTTATATATATATTCATATGTATACGTATGTATGTATGTATTTTCACACCTTTTCCGAAAGAGAAAAATTTTCATCACTTTTCACTTCGCTACTTGATATTTTAATATTTCTTGGAAGCACATTATTTCATTAAAATATATAAAATATAAAATTACAATAGTTTTTTTTTAGCCTTGTAAAATTTGAAAATGTTTTCCATTCAGCGCATGCGCTGTACCACGATCATACATATAACAGATCTCGACCGACATTCACTAGGGAAAACCGTCCAAAAATTGAGTCGTGTCTAACCATGAAAAATCAACATGGACAGTCAATAAAATTGCATTTTTGCGAGACAGGCAAAGGTGAGTAGAATGTCTTTGTTTCTGTCTCAAATATTCATAGCATATCACGCATGAGAAGAAAGAAAACCTTTTTACCTATCATATTGATTTTTCACATCTAGTCACGACTCAATTTTTGGATTGTTCTCCCTAGACTTCGATATATGAGTATCGAACCTGTCTGTATGATCGTGGGACAGATTGTACATCTTTTTTATGTAGCATATTTTATAAAATTTAACAATAAAAAAATGATATCAAAACATAGAATATACACAACAAAGATTCAAAATTTTCCATGAAATATTATTTTTAAATATAATTCTTTCAGTATGTAAAAATATTACCTCTGTTATATTACATGGAAACGAAAGCATATTGTTCCAATAATGAATTTTATAATTATGCTGTATATACAATGACTTATTATTCTATACAAATGACTATTAATGTGTATTATAATTAACGTTTGTATCATACTTGTATAAATAGTACACTGTAATTAAATACACATTGACTATTTTATAAATATTAAACATTTGTTTATAAAAGAGAGATTTATAGTAATATTTACTTATTTACATTTTCAAAATGATGAACTGTGTAAAACTATGAAAACGATGAATTGTTCAAAAATATATAAATAAGTATACAATAAACTTAATGAAACATAAAAAACTAACAAAGTAATAGGTATAATATTGAAAAATACTTAAAAATTATAATATATATATTTAATATACATTATATATATAAAATCTATTATTATATAAAATCTGTGTGTGGGGGAAGTAATGGGTTTGTGTGTATCTGGTTGTATCTGCTATAATAGCAATACTATTTATTTTCATGTGCACAATACTAACCTGCAAGCGTCAGTCTTCAATCTTTAGTCTTCAGACACCTGTCTGAGGGATCAGTTGCAAATTTTTATCCGTTTACGAATCATATTATCCAGATTGCTTAACCTATACAAACGTCAGTATTTGGATATCTGCCAGTTATTTCAGTTGCAAATTTTTCTTTGCTCCTAATTTATATTGTTAAAATTATTGACTCTACAAAGATCTGTTATTGGACACCTGCCGCAAGGTTTGGTTGCAAGTTCTCCATTTAAAAATTACAATATTATCAAAATCGCAGTTTTATGCATGGTTGAAAATTTGACTAACAGTAAGTAACAGTATAATATTTTGAAATAACTTGGATAACATTTTAATATAATTTTTATAATTAAAACAACATGTATATAATTATTTAATTATTGCTAATAATAAAAACAATGTACATTAGTAATATATTTCATCTTTTACAAATATTAAGAATTAAACGATTAAATATATACTAAGAAATGTCCCAGTTGCGAATTATCCCGAGAGAATATACTGTGTTGAAATATTAAAATCAAAATTCAAAATGAGTAACCTTATAAATTTATGCCGGTTGTTTTTTTAATGTATTTGTGTTTTAATAGATGCATCGATCGGTACTCATCGCATTTGACTTTGATCATACGATTGTCAATGATAATACTGATATCGTGGTTCGAAAACTATTACCCAACGAAAAATTGCCGGACAGTGTAAAGGATCTATATCGTTCTAACGGTTGGACTACATACATGGGGAAGATATTTGAATTGCTTCACAATAATTCCATCGACATAAAACAAATCAAAACTGCTATTAATAACATACCTCCTGTACCGGGCATTGATAATCTTCTAAAAGAATTACATTCTCGAGGTTATGAAATTATTATTATTAGCGATTCAAATATGTTGTTTATTAGCGAATGGTTAAAAAGTAAAAATTTAAATTATGTTATTACTGAAACATTTACAAATCCTGCGAAAATCGATAACGATGGGGTCATAAAACTAGACATGTATCACGTCCAAAATTCTTGTAAATTGAGTACTGTCAATCTATGCAAGGGGCAAATTTTAGAAGATTACATTAAAAAAAGAAACGATGAAGGAGTACATTTTGATCGAATAGCATACGTTGGAGATGGCAAAAATGATTTGTGCCCGATCTTACGACTTTCCGAACGTGATGTTGCGTTTCCGCGAAAAGATTATACACTTATGAAGATGTTGGACCATGCTGAAAATAACCAGATTCCAAAAATAAATGCACGTGTATTTCCATGGAGCGACGGTGTACAAATTTTAAAAATACTAGAAAAAGAAATTGGATTTTCTCAAATTTCTTTATAATTATAATGAAAATGAACAAAACATTTATTTATTCTTATCTAACTTTAATTATAACTAATAGGTAAAAATACTTATACTATTATCAATAATTATTATGTGATATAATAGTGATATTTCCAAGTCCCTTATAAAAATACATATATAAAATTTTCCCTTCTAAGTATACCATTTGCTCTAAAACAAATTTCAGGCGCATTCATGCATAAGATAAAATGATAATTGGAACAATGTATTTAGAAATTGAATTGTATTTAGCAAAATATTTGTATACACAATTTGATATATTATTTTACTATATATAGTATATATATAGTATATATAGTATATATATATATATTTATTAATATATTATTTTAATTGCATATTCTATATGATGAAATAACATTAAACAATTTTTTAGTAAAAAGGAGTATATATGTGAAATTTTATAATTACAGTTTATAAATTTGTATAGTTCAAAATTTACTTTCACGCACAATAGTATATTTTCAAATTTTAACACCATTAAACTATGTGAAAGATATATTTAAAAAAAATTACCTTTAATATATATATAGCGTAAAAAAAATAAATTACATATGTATAAAATATGAAAATAAAGAAATTAATTACTCTTAGTTATACAAGAGATAATTCTTAAGTTCCGAAATATCAAAATTTTACATTTTATATAAAATTATAATATTTGTGCCACTGTTTCAACTTTATATTATACAAATTTGACTAATACTGAATTGCGAATTATGAATCATGAACTAACATGCGCACGCATTATTAGGGTTAGGTTGAACTTATGACGTGCGCGTTATGTGCAATATAGTTGCGCGTCTCTAACGTTAATTATTGTCTTATTATTGGTTGCAGGCGTCGGCAAAAGTTTTACTTTTGCCTTTAATGTATTTTATGATAAGACAGAAAAACATGAATTGATCATTAATTGTGATCTAAAAGTTAACATTTTTCTTTGCGATCAGAAAGTAACAGTATACGAACAGCAAGTTAGTGTATCAGCTTCGGTAAGAAAATTTAGAGACTCCTATAAAATTTTACTCAATTATAATTACGAAATAATAATCAATTAAAGTATCACAAAAGTAAATTTATTTATATTTCCATAACGTTAAACGTTATAATAGAAAAATTTCATAAAATCATTTTTTAATTAAATTTAGATACTTTTAGTCAAAGAACTAAAGAGCTGATAATGCATTATTATCATAACGCCATTTATATGCAAAACTAAAAATATACTTTATATAAAACTTTGAATATGAAGCTACTACAACTAAATGTGTATGTTATTTCCTTGGAATATTTAAAGAAATATGAAATTGAAATTCATGTAATAGGATGAATACTATTTATTTTTGCGGTATTTATGTCCTTCTCTTGAAGCTTTATCATTTTCAGATTGAAAATATTCCGTAATGTGCTAAATGCTATACCAGTCAGATAAGTTATATTCAGTAACCATTCTGGTATATATAAAACTGTAAACACTTTGATTAAGCATTCAAAAAATAAAGGTGTCCATAATAATACCCCACTTAGTAAAGACATTTTAATACTGTCAAAAAGCTGCAGCATGTTTGTAGCACGTTGACTTATTATATTCAATTGTATTTTTGTCTCATCAAATGAGATATTATGTTTATTATCTTTGCAGTGCTTGTTCCATTTTTGATTAAAGTCTTCGTGATGAATTCTCATTAGTTGTAATTTATTAAAATCAACTAATTCTTGTGTATGAGGGTTTTCATCCAAATATGTAAATTTTTGTTTTAAAGTAAATCCTTTGGAATTCATAGGAACATCAAAATACATATTATTAATTTCATTTGTGTACTCAGATTTAAAGTTGTTTAACAGAATTTTATTTTTTGCTTTCAACTTTTCTAAAACAATTTTACAGTTTAGTTTGCCATATTGCTGTAGAATTGAGGAGAACAAAATTGGCAGAAAATATATTATAAATACCAGAATAAGCAAATGTACCTTTAAGAATTCAATTGATACAAAACATTTATCTATTATATACACTTGCATTGTTTTTGATGTATTATCATTTTGATAAATATTGATTTTGGTATGTAGAAAAATTTCTGTTGGTTTTAACTCTTTCAACTCTTTTACTTCTTTATTATTATGGTATTTTGAATCGTTTGACATAATTAGTATATTATATTTTTCAGTTGTATTTATAAAATTGTTTATAGTGCCTTTATTTTCAGTAACATCTGTTTGTAATTTTCTAACATTTAATTTTTCTGTGGTATTTGTATTAATTTCATTATTGTAAATTTTTACTCTTAATGTGTCCCTTGAAGAATTTTTCATTAAGTAATCAAATAATAATGATTCTCCATTGACTCTATTGGTATAATTGCTTAATTGTATATCACTTCGTAAGTTTGTATTATTCTTAACACTGACTGGATTAAATACATTTCCAGCATTCTTATTTTGCTCTATATCTTTTATATAAGTATCCAAATACTTTGTTTTATCTATAACTTCAGAAATGTTATAAGAAGTTGTATTAAATGACATAGTGGATATGTCATTCATTGTAGAAAAAATAATATTTTGTACTTTGGATATTATCTCATTCACTTGAGTAATGTTGGAAATTTGTAATTTTATATAGTCCTCATTATTGGTAAAATTATCGTATACTATAGCTGTATCTGTCTCAAATTCAGGATTTTGAAACATATTTATAGATTTAATATTATTATGACAATCGTCAAGAAAAAGTATACTTTCAATAAAACATTTTTTATTTTCCATGTCCCTTGTAAGATTTGTATTATATTCAGACAAGTATAACAATCCTGTGATAATAACAGGTATAATCCATTGACTTAGTACAAATATAGTTGTAATTGTTTTATCTTTCTTTGTTTCATTATAATTAAACACATATAAAATATTCTTCATATACTGTTTGATTACTGAAATATTTTTGGGCTTTATTACA